TGACAGCTAATGGTACCAAGTGTCAGATCATCTTTTAGGAAACTGGAAAATTCCTCCACCCACATGTTTATGTCTCCTTCCTGTTCTTTGACTTTCCTTGTTGCAGCAGATAGAGCTAGATGGACCTGCCTACTGATGTGGTCAACATTTGTCTCTAGTATCTTCTGTGCTTTACCTTTCTGCTTTTTGAAGATGTACTTCTTTACTTTTTCTTTTATGAAAGTCTCTGTTTGGTTCCTTGGCTTCCGGATGTAGGTGATAAAACCATCAAAGTCCTCTTTCTTTGCAAGTGATTTCAGGACATGTTTCTCCAAGTCCTGCCTGTTCCCATTGAATGCTCGGACAGTGCACTTCATCTCTCCAGCGAGATCAATGGCAGTCTTGTTACACACGGCTTCAACAATGGAAACCTTCAGTTTTTCACAAATCAATTCTCCAAAAACGACTGCAGATGAGCTTCCTTTGCAGAAGCTCTGGAAAATGTTGTAATATTGTGGTTTCTTGCCCTCCAAGTAGGTGTGTGCATCGTTGTTAGTTTTGTATTCCTTGTGAGACTGTGACAACCAACCTGCTGCCCTGTCAAAAACATACAGTGAGAGATCCACTCTGAACTCCTTCTTCAGTGTGTATTTCTTCTCTGATTCAAACTCTGTCACTTTCTCTTGAACGCTTTTAGCCACTTCTACCAAGTAGGTTGAGTTGTAGCCTGTTGTTGCTACTGGTTTGGTCTTGACTGCTTTGAGGGATTGCTGTTCAACAGAATTAATGAAGGATCTGATCAGCTGTTGTTCTTCATGTTCAAGAACATTCTTTGATTTTCCTTCTGTTGTTGAGCTCATTCCCACCAGATTTTTGACATAATTGACTCCAGCTGCCATCATACTTCTTTTACTTGTATCCATGTTTTCCCTCTTTCTTTCTGGAGATTGTTCACTTTCATTACAGAGTTTTTGGGACTTCTTTTTTGTTATATAACCGGAGTAATCCCCAATTTTTGGCATCTCTTTGTAACGACCGGTGCGTTTGGATTCAGCTATGAGAGGCCATTCAAAACTGAGCTGTTCAAGGATTTTAAATTGTTCTTCTTCCAGGTTGATGTCCTCAATGGGTGTTGTATTCTTAGTTAACTCAGTAACCAAGTGGCTCCAAACTGAGTCAAACTGCTTCTTCAGTTCCTTTTCATCTGTTGCCTTGTCTTTTAACTCATGAGCCAGCTCTTTGCTCTTTTGCAGCAGCTTGTTCTCAAACTCTGTCACTGTCTTCTGATCATCCAGCTTTTTACAAGCCTTCTTCTGCTGGATAACTTCATCCAGCTTTCGTTTCACTTCTTTAACTGCTTCCTCATGAAACTCTTTGATCTTCTGTTCGAATCGGTTTTGCCACTGAACCAGCATTTCTTTGTCTCTGTCATCCTGAAAGTACGTTGTCATTTCTTTCTTGACTTCTTCATACGTTTCGCTCATTTCTTTAACAAGATCACTGAGCTCAACCTTGTCAAGTTTTCCATTTTCAATTCTGGTATGAAGCTGGTTTTCGATGGTCAACAAGTTGTTCCTGAGGGTCCAGGTCCAGTTCCCATATTTGATCTCAAGTTTTCTGTACACGGCGATTTCTAGTGTGTTTTTGAAGCTGAAAACAAAGTGTTCGTTCATGAGGGCATTCCACAGGTCCTGGATCTTGGTTTTGAAATGTGACAGAGGGGTCCTGGCACACTGTGAAGCCTTCAAGAGGATGATGTTCTTCAGTTCTTGTACACTCTCACTGTAACCTGGGTTTGGAGGAGCCATTGGAGGGCTTCCCTCCCACAGTTGGGCAAAATATTTCACGTCTTCTTTCACATCAAATGCAATGACGTCACTAAAGCACTCAGCATCACAGCCCTCTTCTCTGGCAGCTAGTTGAGCCATCTGGTCCAGTTTTTCTTGCAGGCGTCTCTTCCCATCCATGTTTTTCTCTGCTGCTGCAATATCTGTGACATTCTGGTGAACAAACACACAACTAGGAGAAAGTTTAACTTTCTTCATCCTCATGAAAGCCTGAACAACAATCTGCAGAACATCTTGCATGTCAGCTGGATTCTCACCAAAGATGTTGATCAATGTCATGTTTCCCAGACCAACAACAAATGTTGCCAGTTCATTGTCGTGGTTAGAAGTGGCTTTACCTGCTAACTCAAGTGCACGCAGTCCTTCAGTGTCCACCACTAGAATGTAGTCAAACCTGAAGCCCTTCTTGAGCTCCTCTGACACTTTGACCAGCTGCATGAAGGCACCCTTGGTGCACCTGCCGGCACTGACAGCAAACTGCAAACCAAACATGGCATTTAGCATCGTTGACTTTCCACTGCTTTGTATGCCCAAAACTGACAACACAAACACCCTCTGGTCTCCCAGTTTCTTGATGACTTCATCTAAAAGAGCAGAGATCCATGTCAAAGGCACATGACCTGCATCACCGTCCATCAGCTCCATTGGGTGTCCTGATATCATCAGATCTGCTGCCAGCTCAGGGTATCTGGACCAGTTATTCCGTCCACTGGTTTCTGGTTTTTCCTGAGATTTATGGGCTTCGTAGATCTGTCCCATTTCTCGAAACATGTGCTCCAAGCCAAAGGTGGCTGACTGCAGTTTGTTGGATATTTGTTCAAGCTCATCTTGTTTCCTTATTAACAGAGCAGATTTGTCTTTCTTTTTCTTCAGATCCAAGACCTCAGACCACTTTTCATCATAGCTTTGGAGAATTGAAGAGAGATCATCTGTGGAGAGGGCATCTATTAAGATCTGAGTCCACTTCAGGTAGTACTCTTTGGCTTTTGATGGCAAAAACAAGAGGCTATCAGTGAATGACATCATCAGTTTACTGCAGGAAGCTTTGCTGCATTGATCCAGTCGTATTTCCATCAGTTCCTGTTGCCTTTTACTTTTCTCTTCCTCAATGTGTCCTTTGAATTGAATAGGTTCTATCATTGACATCCGCCTGCGTCGCCAAAGCTGGCCTTGGCAAGGAAGAAATGTGTCTTTAATCTTGGAAACGTCCACCCCCTGAAGCACATGAAGTGTTTCCATTGCAGCAGATTTGCCGTTTTGGCAGACTGTGTCATCTTCATCCACTCTGATTCCAGAGATCTTGGCCATAGACTCCAGCTGGAAGGACGTGTGTGGTCCAGACAGGATCTTTCCAATAAGTCCTTTTAGTTCTTCTGAAACATCTGACTGACTTCTGTCTTTAAGGCCCATTTTGTATTTTCCCTCTTTAATCTTAAGTGCACCACAATCACTGTCAGCAACAAGGATAATGAGGGGCTTTGGAGACTTGTGAAGGGCTGAGATGACTTTGGTACTTTTCTGGCTTTTTTCCAGAGTTGGTACAAGAACAACATTGATTGAAGATCTTTCAATCAGTATTTCACGTTGTTTTTCCATCAATAGAGCATCTCCATGAAGATTGCAGAAGGCAATGCAGTCAGTGAAGGAATCATTGGATCTTGCAGCAGGGCAGTACCAGGCAATCTCTGCCACACCTTCCATTAAATGGCGAGTTTTGGTGCTTCCTGGACAGTTTCTGTGGAAGAACATGTTGTGATGCTCGTTGATCAAAGTGTTCATCAGCTGAGATTTAGACACAGAAAGTGAACCAAGGCGGAAGAAAGACACCATGGACGTTTCAGCTTTGCAGATCGGCATGTGCTTCATGGTGACACTTTGTGAGCCATCTTTGATTTGAGTTATCTTCCATGTTTTTATGATTTGTCTGAATGTCCACAAAGGACATTCAATGTCCATTGTGACTGGGTCAGGAACAAGCAAAGGTAAAGCGTGCTGACACTGAGATAACTTTGTCATCAAGTTCTGCTTCAGAAAGCTGTTGGAGCAGTGGAACACTGCCATTTGAACATCCATTGGATGCACCTGAGTCTGTTTTGACTGATCAGAGTCTGTATCATTGCTAAAATGAGCTTCATAGTCATCTGTGTCATCATCTGTGTCATCATTGTCAGACACTGGCAAAGTGTGTGAAGATCCCGGCTCAGGACTGTCTTGTTTTACAGGAATATATCTGGCTCTGTAGTCTAACATCATTAACCTCTGAACAAAGGTATTAGCGAGATCTTTCTCAGATATGTCATGGCTGTGTGTCACACGTTGACCTATTTGAAGAAAGTCTGCTGGTGACAACTTGTGTGGAAATCTGTCTTGAAGGTGAAGTCTGCTGAGCAGCGTTTCAGTTTCTTTTTGACGTTGTTTCTTTCTGTCAGTCTCTTCAGAGATGTTCACTGACTGCTGGAGACGAGAAAGAAACGACCATTTATTGTTTGTAAAAGATGACAACATCATATCCTTCAGAACTTGATAAATGAATGTGAGTTTCTGACCTTCTCCTTGTTTTCAGACATTTTCATATCGAAGGTATCTGCAGAACAATAGTGAATGTCCAGATTAGCAGAGGGACAAATCAATGTGTATGAATGTAAAGCACCAGTCAAATGTCTGGACTCCTGCTCATTCAAGGCTTTTTCTACATTAGAGAAGACTGAAACTATTAAACAGCACAAATAGGATTTATTTGCAGTCACTTGATTTTCAGCAGGACAATGAGCCAACATACTTCTTGAGGCTCTGCAGGGACCATCTGACCAAGAGGCAGACTGATGCAGAGCTGCCTCAGATGACCCATATTTACAATCACACAACCTAAACCCAGCTGATTCAGCATATTCACTTCACCCTGCTTTTCTTTGCACAAAAGAGAATAACAGTGATGGTAAACCAGGGGTAACTATTTTGTCCATGTATGAAGAGAAAGTTGCTGTACAACCGGGCTTGATATGGTTGGAGTGTGTTTAATAAACGACGAGCAGTTTGTGAAATCCCAACGTTGTGTGGACGTGAGTTCTGTCTGCCGTTTCTCTCCACTCTCCATGACCTCAATCGAGCTATGCAGACTCAAACCATCACAACGTCATAATTCCATAAGTGTTATTTCATAGTGGTGTTTTTTTGTTTTTTTTCTACAATGTAGAAAATAGTAAAAAGTCAGGGGGAGAAAAAGAACTAGTAGGTGTGTTCAAACTTTTCATTGGTACTCTACATGTTTGTAAGTTACATGCTGAGTTACATGTTACTGTACAAATCTCACCGTTCTCCTTTGTTTCAGATGGCACGGCCGTGATGTCAGACTCTACTCCTGGGCTGTCATCATTCTCCTCTGGGCGTTCATCACCACGAGGTTTATTCTGTGGATCACACTAAGAAAAAGGCAATTTTACCTCAACTCTAGTTTACCTTCTCAGAACATTTGGTATATTTTCAGTGATAATAAGACCAAGAAAGCACTTCTTAGAATAGACACACAACAGCCAAGATTAACTGTTTTCCAAGTTAGAAGACTGTTCAAGTGGGAAACTGAAAATGTGATCTGACCTACCTCCAAAAAATATTCAGATTTCTAAAAACCAATGGTTTAAAAGTTTCAAAATTCTTACCTTGACCTTGATTCCAGGTGTGCTATCTGTTTCTATCTCTTCCACTGCAGCATAACCTAAGAATAAGCAGACTGCACTAAGTCAAGGCTTTACATATAACAGTGACTTACTGGATATTCATTATGTCTGCAGCTTTTCCTAAATTTCTTGCATGCAGCTGATAAAACATTACCCATGTCAGGACAGAACGATCAGATTTAAGGGATTATTTTTCTTTTTGTTTGCTGAAATACATTGTACACATACTGTATATGGGAATGTCTAAATGTTGGAACCACTGAGGTAATACATACAAGCACAGACCACTTACTGTTTTAAAGTCTATATGAAGTCTTTATAAAATGTAATACACAACAACATTGTTCATGTGTCAGTGGGAGCCAATGAGGGAGCTACCTTTCCCCCAATCTGAGATAACCAATGTTATAAAGACACAGAAAAACATTTTGGGAAAGATAATCTTGCTTTCTTAATAGATCATGAGTGCCTCATTTGTTTTACAAGCAAACCTCACAATCACATGTTCAGATCTAAGAACATGAGGACACAGCACACAGTGAGACAGTACTAACCTGTCAGTCACAGAGAAAAAAAACATATCGTGTTTGTCATCCATTTTCCTCGAAATGGGACCATAATCTACAAAATGATCAGGCTGTATTCAGAGAGATGTAAATCTAGCAATTGAGACCATGAACATGTTCACAAAATGCTGATTGAGGTAACAAATCAAGTGAAAAGTCATTTCTCTAAACTTTCCTGTACTATCAGACTTCTTTCTGCAACCAGAGGAGTCGCCCCCTGCTGGGTGTCAGGAAGGATGCAGATTTAAGGCACTTCTGCATTGGCTTTACTCTTCAGACTTGATGTCTGTCTTTTATATTCAGTCTGCGCCACCATCATATGTTTTCAGCGGGACAATGAACAAAACACCTTCTGGCGCTTTAAAGATTATTTGTCCCAGAGGAAAAGTGATGCAGCGCTGCATCAGAGAACCTGAGTGCTCATCATGTATCGGAACACCTTCATACTCCAGAGGGCTGTACTACGAAGCAAGTTCGACATATCTCGGCTTTCTTTGTGTAAGTCGGCTTGAGAAAAATGTAATTCCCAGTCAGAAATCACAAGTATCACGAAGGTGGTTCTCAACTTTCTTTGTCAACTCAGGCTTTCTGCCTCAAAGTCTGTGCACGTTCACACCAAAGTGGGCGTCGTGAGTCTTCTTCCTCACAAAATGAACCATTCGTGTGTAGCTGTTTCAGTCAATATGTTGTTTTAATGGAGAACAATGAGGAATGTCAAACTGATGACGATAAAAGTGCTGCTACTGCAAATGATGCGACACAGGAATGCCGGTAGAAAACTGTTAAAGGTGCATAAAATATTTATTTTATCGACCAATGCAGACGGTTATTTCTGAAAGCTGCACAATAAAACTATTAAACTTTAAACTTCATGTCTTTAACATGACATTGTATTGTCTGACACTGCCCCATGATGCATGATAGCACTGTAATCTGTGGCCACATCCAAGTGGAATTAATGTTACTGATTGAATATTGTCTGTAGTTAATGCCAATAAACAGATCAGTTTTCTAAGCTTGGTTCTATCAGCTGCAGTACCAGCAGTGTAAACGGACTGAGCAGCAAAGCAGGACCAAACATGAAAAAACATATTTATGCTTCACCAACCAAATACGTGTCAGGGTCCCATGGCAACGTGATGATACAGTGTGCGATATTGTAACTACGTGGCTCTTTGCTGGGCCAGAGCTAAGCACCGAGCATGTCAGGGGCTGTGGGTGGGGTTATCGTGACCACTGAGTCCCCTGAATGGGACACACAAGCATTGATGAACTGGAATGAGTCCAGGGACACACAGAAGTTCTGCACAAACTGTTGCACTGAAATCCAGTCCAACTGTGACCCACCAGCAGCACCACAGTGGTGGAAAACAGGACTTTTATTACTTTCATTGTACTGCGGTATTTACGTTCAGAAATGTGTTCTTTTGTGAAAAACAGAGCACAGCTACATGCTGTTTATTCCGCTCATAGAAAACACTGCATGGGAAAAAAATCACTGGGTTTCATCTTGGACAAATTTGACATTAGACATTGGTTTACTCTTTTTAAAGTCATGTTTGGTCACACATCCGTCTGAGCACCACGGCCACCAACAGCAGCTAGTGCAGCCTGCAGTGCAGGGTGTTCAGGGAACATGGTAAATTGTAGAGTCCATCAATAAGAAAATGTTCAGCCAGTCATATGTTTGCCTGTGACAAGGTGGAAAGTGCGACCAAATGAGAAAGTTGGTTACATCGGTAAAGTAAAACAAGTTGGAGTCCTGTGTGGACTTCCATGTGGCACAAGCGTTGTTCGGTAAATGGCTACGTATGCAGTGACGTATGGCATGGCTCTAACTTGGCTCCTTGCCGATGGAAAAGCAACCAGTTCTTTGAAGGTGCCAGATTTGAATCAACTACGCACTGGCCCTAGCACCAGCAGCAAACTAGCACCTGGTTCTTCTTGGTGGAAAAGGGGTATGTGAGATGGCAGTGACCTGTCAATTACAAGGTACCGAAAACATACCTTACTTGATCATCTATTTTCCTCAAAATGGGACCATAATTTACTAAATTAAATCATCCTGTATTCAGAAAGACATAAAACTGAGATCATAAAGGCATCAGAAAAAGGTTTACCAATGGAACAAATCAAGTGAGAAGTAGTCTCATTTTTTCTTTGACTTCTGAACAATCTGGCTCATTTCAGAAACCGTTGGAGTCGCCCCCTGCTGGCTGTTCCAAAGAATGCAGGTTTATAGCTCCTCTGGTGTGGCTTCACTTTTCAGACCCACATCATTTATATGCAGTCTAAGATTGAAATATATCAGTATCTGTGTTTTCTGTCCAGCAGCTATAAGCCATATAAACTGTCTTGGAAAAAATTAAATATTATATATGTTTCAGAACACATAGTACCATGCTGCTAAATGCACAATCACTACTATTATTCCTACAGAATGATTCATTTCCGTTGCATTTGTTGCACTCCCTGTAATGTGAATGTGGAGCACAAATTAAACACAAAAACAAACTGGGATGACTCTACTTTACCCACAACACAGTGTCTCACACTTCATACTCATTTTCTGAGTCCGGATTAACTTCAAACTGATGCAGTGATCAGGTAAGCTGCAAAGATTTCTGGGAGAAGCCCCTAATTGGTCCAGATGTCAACAACGCCTCTGCTACCAGCGACATAAAAACTGGGGTGAGTGAGGTTGTTCTGTTGGACAGCTACGAGACAGACTGAGCTGTAAGTCCAGCGGGTCATTTTGTGTGCTGACGTGTGGAAAAACATCAAAACGAGCAGCTTGACGCCGTTCCGATGTGATGCAGTGAGAAGACGCTAGCTGGAGCAGCACAAACAGCCGGTAACTAGCGGTGCATGCTACCTGACATTAGCCGGTGAAACGACTCTTAATTAGTGTCACCGTTTAACTGAGAGCATCCAGCCGTGAGGCAAACACAGCCGCTGTGGTGTTTCATTGTAATGACGGAAGTCAACGGCAACAAAAAGAAGCTTGCTAATGCTAATTATTAGCTGCTAGCTCCATTTGGCTACAGCAGGTGTAACTGCGGTCATGAAGACGTTCAGAGGCCGCGAATGATTTACCTTCAGTACCCGGTGGCCACGGCCGTCATACAGTAATCCCTCAGTGTGCAGGAATCTGAATTTCCTTGTTTTAAATCACGACTTTTACTCGTAATTTTGGGAACTTCTGAATCCACTGACAGCTCCTGTTTACTTTACGTCTTCTTCTCGGTTGCGGTTTATTGGCGGTCAGCAAACAACGAAGCGGCGCATCACCGCCACCTGCTGGTCGGAGTGTGAATCACAACGTCTGTATTTACAAAAAAATGTTTTTAAAAAAGAAAAAAACTAAAACCTTCTCGACTTGAAACTATCAATGTATACTTGTATGTTATGTGAATTAGAGATAAGCCCCTTTTTCTTGTTTATTGCCGCAGCAGGTTTCAATCAGAATCAGAAATCCTTTATTTATCCCCGACGGGAAATTCTTTTTCATTACATGCATGATTCCTGCCCAAGAATAAAGATTAAGATTAAAATAACAAAAAATTATACATTAAAGGTAATATATAAATAAATATCAAAGTACAAAAGAAAACATATTTACA